TTGATTGAGTTTGGTGGTAGAGCTGAATACCACCTCAAAGCAAATTCTTTCAACGTTATTGGGGGAAGACAACAACCTATGGTATCAGGGACATCCTGAGCCATCATGTTTGTCTGAAGCTGCTCCAAATGTTCATGAGGGTCACCCTTTCCATTGTATTTTTCTGTAGTGATTTTGATATCTCTTCGAATGGGAAGATCCATAATTTGTGAGGTAAAATGATGATCCATCTTGGAAATTATTCTTCGATTCTGATGAGAATCATGATCCAGGCAATGATCAGTCTCATGGTTAACATGAGGCTTATGGACTTCTGTCTTTTGTTTATCTTTTTTTTATAAACTAGGGGTTTTTGAGAATATTCTAGTCCATTATCATTTTCATCAGATTTTTCACTCGCTTTAGGCTATTTTTCATGCTCAACCTGTGATTTTTTCAATTTTTGTAACTCTTTATGTTGCTTCTTAATATTTTGAGTTTGTTGCTTGAGGAGCTCCAAGATTTGCTCATTTGTAGGTTGATTATCTCATTGAGGCAAAATTGGAGCTACAGAAGCGGAAATTCTCTAGCGAGATGCCTGTCCTCCCTTCTTTTTTCCTCTGAAAGCGTTTTGAGATTTGGACATGTTGCTCCTGGTATCAACCATATTTTTTATTTGTATTGTGAGGGAGTCGAAGTTTATCGGATGACGCCAATGATCGGTCCAACACAGAATGGGTTGGGCCTTGTGTTCAAGGAGAGATATCATACCTAGGCCAATGACCTTTGTATTTATAGTGCTTGAGCGCCTTGTTTATCAACGTACTTCATAAGATGATGTTCACATTTATTGGTAGAGAGGGGTGGCCTCTCCTAGGCTATTCCTTGATGGGCAAGCCTATGCTTAGTAGTAGACTCAGTAGATATAGTGGCAAGTAGGAGTTGCCATCCTTGCAATGGTTCCTGGTAGTGGCCAATTTTCTTGAGCTGTCGACCTTGGCAATGATGGTTCCTTTTAGGTTAAGTCTTGTTTGGCTTGCTAGCCAAGTTTGAAGCGAGATCCCTGCTTCCTTTGCAAGATGGCTTGTCTTTGTGGCTATGTCGCAGGGATTCGTTGAGACTTTTGAGCCCTTAGCAATTGGCCATCTATTTCGCATGTAGTATGTAATGTCCCAAGGGCTGGCATAGGTAGGGAATGATCGCTGGTGCAAAACAAGCACAAACATCGAGCGACTTATGTCAAATCTTGCAACTGGGGGTATATGAATGAATCGAATCAACACCTAAAAGAAAAGGATTCCAGGGGTTGTGCTGGTATGTGATGGTACAGTTGAGGATAATTTATAAGAATTAATTGATACTACCTATACTAACAAGATGCATCTACTTTTCGGTAGCTCGGAACGGAAGAATTCCATAGTTAAGTGTGCTTGACTTGGAGCAATTCTGAGATGTGTAACCTTCTGAAAGTTTTCTCAGGAAGCGTGTGAGTGAGGACAAAACTTGCTGAAAAGTTTAGTTTGTGGGGACATTCATTGATCATTGTAAGTTGTCAGACGTTACATAGTAGGTTCAGATCAACATTCTTTAACATTCTTTTTTAATATATTTTTTTATTATGGGGTGAATTTTATATGAATACCAGTAAATGAAAAATAAACTTAAATTATTGCGTAGAACCAATACAATTTTCTCAATAATAAAAAATATATTGAAAACAATGTGTTGTTAGTATTTCTCTCTTGACAAATGATTGCATAAAACTTAAATGAATTATTATTAAGTCATTGGAATTGTAATACACGCGTTAAATTTCCTCAAAAACAAAAGGTATGCAGTTAAATAAAAAAGTAATTAAAATTTTCATAAAATTTAATTATATTTTAAGGTACATTTTTAATAATATAAGATTGTATAAAAATAAATAGATCATAATTTATCCAGATTCAATAAGCGCTCCAATTTGTTTTATTAAAGATTGTGAAAAAAAAAATTGACCACTGAACATTTTGCTTCTATAAAATAATGCGGAACACAAGATTAGCGTAAATCTTTTTAGGGCCACTCTTTTTGTTACAGACAACAACAATCATATAAACAAGCACATGGATTAGTGGTAAAAGATTATTCCAGTTTAACCTATAAAAAAAAATTCAAAAAAAATTCAAATAGTTTAATGATACACGGAGTGAAAAAGAAAAAATTACTCACGTTTTATGTTTTATGATTGGCATTATCCAATGTGAATGTGGGAAGTGCATCCTCTTGTATTAAAATTTCGTATGATCACCTGATCATGTAAAATTTGTGTTTATTTCTCTCTCATATGCATTAATTTGGGGACATAGATCCTTTCACGTTAAAATTTCACATGATCTGGTCATATGAAAATTTTGTGTCTATCTCTCTCTTAACATACATAAAATAAATGGGATCAAATTATCATTAATGAAGAAAGAGATAGATACACAAATTTCACATGACCAGATTGTAACATCATGTATGCACCCAGTGTATTAAACATATATATGGTAATAAGCGCATTTTAATTAGATGCAGAATCTACTTATCCAATTATGAAAACTCATTAATTTAACCAAGTGAATTAACTTTTTCCTTTTCACAATCCTTATGTAATTGCAATAAAAACATTACATCTGAAATACCTCATAGTAATAAATAATATTTAGTCATGAGCCTACATCATGTAGTCATGACAACATCCATACACAATGGTGTAAACAAATACATATCCTTAACAAAAATAAACATGCTTATTAAATAGTGGCATAGACAACCCCTATACTCACATCAAATAGAACATAAGCAGTTTGACATAAATAAACATAGTTTGATACATAATCATCATATTGCAGCAAATGTAAGCATATAACATAAATCCATGCATATCTCATGCTATCTCTCTATCTGGCCTCTTGCCTCTAGAGGTATCTAACCCATGAATAACTGCACCTAAAAAATGTGCCCCACATGGAGTAAGATTTTGACAAATTTCACTAAAATGGGGTTTTACAAAGATGACTCATCCCCCAAGTTCACTTACAGGTATAATATAAGTATAAACAGTATAAAACAACACAATGATGCAACATATGTATATCATGTAGGTGCGCTAAAAATCACAAGTCTACTAGCTAAAGAACAAACGTAGGCATTACACAAGTCTCAATCTATGAACAAAGTATAAGGATCCACCCTATATCTATATTGCTGGAGTTCTACCCGTTGCATGAAATCACCATACTTAGGAACCCAATCCATGTGTTGCTACACACTACCCCATATACATACATATGAAGACATTTAACAGTATCTCAATTTAATTTCCAAAAATATACCATGCACATAAACCAACCTCCTATGGAGTTTGGTGGTACAAACAAGGGATTAACCCTAAGAACACGAAGCTTACCTGTAAAGCTAAGTGTCCAACCCAACACAACCAAACAATCACCAACTCAGTCACTAGCAGTGTCACGATCTATTTATACAATGCAAATATCATTAACAAACATATACTAGCTTCACAAGCCTAACGGGACACTATTTCGTTTTAGTTTTGCGTACTGCAGGCTTCTTCCAAAGCCTCTAGCTCTAAATTGTATTTAGCATTTTTAAAACTGCAAGTACATCTCTTTACAAAAAATTCTAAGATTTTACTATGTTAAACTAGACATCCTAAGCTTCCAAAGACATATTACATATCTCATTTGGAGTTGTATAGCTCCGAATATGTTTTTCGCAAAGTGACTGTTGCAAATTGAATTTCCAGCAACCACGTCGCGACTTAAAACTAACATTGTAATCAAACCACTTATCCAATGGCTACGAAATTTTACAGGATTGTATCCCTATGTGTTAGCTTCACATAGGTCCAAACGACACTTGATTGGAGCTCTGTAGCTCGAGATATTGAATTTTTACTAAACTATGTTTGCTCCCGATGAAATATCCGGATATGCATATCTGGGTATCTCTAAAGGAATATCCGGATATTAGTTTCTTAATATCGGGATATTTCGCGACATATTTCCAAAACTACATTTTTGTAGCGGAATTCCTTCAAGGATCCATTTCTACTCCAAGATGTATGCAAAAAGGGCTCCCACTCACTCAACACTGTGGACAACTCACCAAACTCTCTAGACAGTAGCTAGCTCACTGCAAAGAGGGTTCTTTTTCTTTGAATGTGCAAGCTTTTAAGTGTCTACAAGCTTAGGGTGAGAAAAAGATGAGAAAATGAAGGTTTTTTTATCACTTCCATTGTAGCAAACTATGTTTTCTTTGTATTAAAAAAAGAAGACATGAAGAATGAAGAGAATAAATGAATCTAGGTCACTTAAAGCACTAACCACTAATACGCTAGTATTAGTTCGAAGTGCTCTATTAATTATTTTTCTTCCAAACTTCATATTCCTAACTTAGGCATTTTTCAAGGAATATTAGTATTTTTATATTAATTTTTCGAGTCACTTCATCGGTACGCATTTATATCGCGAAATACCTAGGTTTTCACTTTTCTTCCTAAAAACAGCTTAATGTTATTAATTATAATTCCCTTATAATTATTCTATATTAATTATGGAATATTATTCCCAAATTCATGACTTATCATTTATTAATTTTATTTAATTCCTTATTTAACGGTGCAGATAGATCACGTGAAATTTTAATATGAGAGGAACCATTTCCTTAAATAGATTGGATCCAATTATCATTAATGAAGAAAAGAATAGACATAAAATTTTCACATGACCAGATCACGTAAAATTTTTCCCTTGTGAGGATCTATTTCCTTAAATAGATCGGATTCAATTATCATTAATGAAAAAAGAGATATACACAAAAATTTCACAAATCACGATAAAATTTTAACAGGAGACAATCTATTTCCTCCAATGTAATATAATAATGAAAATTGGACTACCTTATTATACATACATGACAAAAGGATTTTCAGACTACAACCATTTCATTCGCAAATGTAGATGATGTTTCACGTAGTCAACCAACTTCTATCACACAAGTGCACACGAGAATCACTCATGAAATATAACAAGCACACCGTGCTAAGTTTATGGCATCCGAAAGAAGGGGTACCCAATTTCTACTTGGATTCAACTGAGTTATCCTTACACATGATTACAACTCTAGTCTTGTTCCTTATTCTGATTGAAGAAATCAAAGAACAACAGAAAATGCAGGGGAACAAGTTACCCAATTTCAACTTGGAGTGAATTGGGTTAAGCTTACACATAATTAGATCTCTAGGTTAAAGATACAAGGACTAATCTCCCACTTTCAATATCTAACTAACCATCGAAACTATGTGATTACATAATGGTACAAATTTAACTAAGTGAGAATATCTGTTTCTAAGACCATGGCCTAGATTCTGTCTACACAGTGAATTTAGTTATCATGTCCTCTTGAAAAATTTACCACCTTTCTTTCCCATGCTTATCCCCACAAGACTTGATGTTAGAAGATACTTTGTATCTGGCCTCCATCTCAACTCTTTCAGAGTGGAAAATAAGGTTGCAAGTGCAGGAGAGATATCACTGTCCTTTATATTTTTACATGAGACAACTCTAAGGCACTGAAGCTCCTTCCAGGAATCAATTACAGACTCCAAACCTTCTGTTGTTAGCAATGAGCATCCTTCTAAGTAGAACAACTTTACCCGCCTGAAGATGCAAAAGGAAAATTTCAAAATAAGCTCACACATCCACTACAACACCTGGACCACATTGGACCCAAAAGTGCACGTTACAAACTTTAAGACATCACTCTTCAACTGCAAACCAGATTGCCGATACATGTGATGCTAGAAAACAATTTTATACCTACATGACTACATAAATTCCAACATTGACCAATTTTAATTACATTTATTAGAAATTCAAGTAAATAGGGGGAGCCTTGGAACACCAGTAAGATTGTTTCTTTTGACTGAAAGGTCATTGGTTCGAATATGAAAAACAACTTCTTTGTAAAAATAAAAGAGTAAGGTGGCATACAATCAACCCCAATCCCTACTCTCATAAATCCGGGATAGGATTTGCCCTTTATTATAAATTCAAGTAAGGAAGGGGAGGCTTAGCACAAGGGTTGGTGTTGTCACCATGTAATCCGGAGGCTACTAATTCAAATCATCTAATCAGCCTCTTACAAATACAATGTAAGGCAATAAACCCACACAATAGATCTGACCCTTCATCACCCAAGGTTGCCCTTTTTTATTAGAAATTCAAGTTCAGTGGGAGGGTTATCAAACACAACAAAATTGAAAGCAAAGAGTATCACATCACCTGCAAATACTTGCAAAGCTCAACATGCTATTATCCATTCCCCAGCAGTCCTGAAGAATAATCTCCCTTGCAACTCTGCATACAGAAAACATAGCTCCAACACCATTCTTATCACGCAATTGGCACTTTTGCAAATGAAGCCGTTCAAGTGCCGGACAACAACCCAAATATTCCTCTAACCCTGGATTAGGATCGATCACTTTACACGACTGAAACCTTAAAGTCTTCAAATTCTCACAAAACGAAAGCCCTGCTAACCACCCATCATCCATCCTATGGTCAACAAAAGTCAACTCCTCCAACATCACACAACACTTACCAATCGCTTTAATCCCATCAAAACTCCCTTCACACCCACTAAGTTCAAGCTTCACCAGCCTCTTACAACCTTGAGCCAAAATCGTTAACCCAATATCAGAAACCAGAGAGTTATAAAACCCATCAATGCTCCCAACCAATTTCAATACTTGGAGATTCCCACACGCCGCAACACCACGCAAAACGTCGTCGTCGCATTTCTGCAACTCCAACTCTTGCAACGTGAAACACTCCTCGCCCACGCTCAACAAGCCCACCTCACTCGCACCGATAACCTCTAGCTTCCGCAAATTGGGGCACCCACTTGCAAGTACTTTCAACCCATTATCAACCGCTTCAACAGGTAGCAGGTTTTCCTCGCCGAAACACCACCCAGAGTCAACGTGCATAGATAGAACCTTGTGAGTCAACAAAACACTCGAATTTCGTGGCGAACTGAAAGAACCAGTAACCAAATCAACGTGGTTCAGATTGGGGAATCTATGTATAAACCTACCCGATAACACAAAGTTCCAATCCAAAACCTTCAGGGAACGAACGAGTCGTCCTTGGAGATTCAACCACCGCTTGCAAACGAGGGAATTGGAGTTCCTCTGCGAATCGGGAAGCTTGGCGAGGATTTTGAGAAGAAGCTCGTCGGATAAGTGAAGGGTTCGGTCCATTATGGTGAAATTGGGGACTAGGGTTTTTTTGCTTTTGGGGTCGGAAAGGGAGTGAAGGTGCATGGCAAGAACCATATGGTTGACGGGTTCAGTGCTCTTGATCTTGAGCCAGGTCTTTAATGGCGGAGTAAGGCTAGGGTTGTTCTGGTCGTCGGGGTGAAACGACATCGTTCAGAAGAAGCGGAGTGTGTGTTTTGATGATGACGGTGATTTTGTGATCATTCCCAATCTGCACTGTACTGCGGGAGAGTCTCCTGCTTTCTTCTGCATCTCTCAATCTAACAAGAAAGTGTGGGTGTAGATTTTTGATTGTTTGTAACCATTTTTTCTTTTCTTTTTGTTTTCTTGTCAAATGATTTGATATGGGTTGGATTGGATTAGTGTATCACGAAAGACAAAATTTTAGACTTCCATTTTATTTTATTTTTAATATAGTCCTCCATCTACCTTTCTCTCCTTTGTTAATAAAATTAAAAATAAATAAATAATATATATATATATATATAATATGAAAAAATATTCATATTTAAATAATACAACTTTACGTTATTTTAAATGAAATATTAAATGAAATAATATTTTTTTACGTATAATTAATAATTTTTTATATTCTATGCTTTCAATTTTTCTCTCTTTCTAATTTTCATAATACAATTATATGAATGTCTATAATTTTTTTTTTATAATCTTGTGTTTTTCAATTTGTATTCAATTATAAATTATTAGTTTTGTTCTTCACTTTATCTATAGTAACACTTTAACTTATAATTAAAGTTTATGAACACGTAAAGCTTTGTGAAATATAGTTTTTGAAATTCAAAAAAATAAAAAAAATATATAATGGATATAGTTTTATTATTTTATTTTAACATTAACTTGTGAATCTTGATGATATATCACAAGCACTGATTTATACTTTATTATGACTAGAAATATAATTATTACGTTCTACTAAAATTTAGATTTATTTATTATCCTATTTGCCCATTTTATAATTTTAACATGTCAATAATATATGAAAAAATTATTCATTTATTTTCGGTCTTTTTATTATGTACAACTTTGTTTTATTAGAAATTATGTTGAACTATGTATAAACATGCTTTAAGAATGCTATAAATTAGTTTAATATAATTTCCAACTACTAATTTAAATGAAAAAGTGTAATTACATGTGTGCATAAATATAAAAGTCTAAGAAGAAAATGTGGAACAGTCAATTCTTAGGTGAATTGATTGGATTGAAATGATTAATGGTTTTGATTGAATTGGCCTAACCGGCTAGGGAAAATGTGTGTTTAATCTTTAATTTTTTTTAAAGAGAAACTAAAGATAAAAAGAAAAAGAAAAAAAGAGAAATAAGATACAACAAGGTAATCCCCCGAAAAAATCAGCAAATATAAGCAAACCTTAAATACCACGAGCCTCTTTTTCTTTTATGTTCAAGAAGGATTCTCAAGCTCTCACTTTTTTTTGGAGTTACCCAACCCTAATTATCTCTTTGAGGCGAGTTGGCTCCCTCCGGTATCCCCACGAGCTTCGACTCTTTGAGCCGGCTATGGGACTAATCCGGAGTGCGGGGGAGCAGTGATGGCTAAAGGTTCAGCCCCCTCCCCAAGAATGCATTCAGCAGGAATCAAACACATGTCCAACCCCACTAACTCAGCGCCAAATGAAAACTCTAGGTTCATTACTAATTAGCTGTCAATTAACTACAAATAAGGAAAATGAAATAATCTGTTACTATTTCTATTTAATACAAATCTCCTATGATCTTATTTCAACATTTCCCCTCAAGTTGGTGATTAGATATCAATCATGCCCAACTTGCTAATTGCTTCTTCAAACACTTTTCTTGATACAGCTTTTGTCAAGATGTCGACTAACTGATCTTCAGATTTGATGTAGGGAGATTGAATAATTTTTTGATCTAGCTTTTCCTTAATAAAGTGCCTATCCACTTCTACATGCTTGGTTCTATCATGTTGAACTGGATTATGGGCAATTTCAATAGCAGTTTTATCATCACCAGTCAAAACCATATCATCAACATACATTATTAACACTGTTACCTTTCCTCCATTGTGTTTTATGAATAGGGTGTGGTCTGCATTACTTTGTTTGTATCCAAACTTCTTCATGGCTAGAGAGAACTTGCCAAACGAAGGTCTAGGTGATTGCTTGAGGCCGTACAATGCTTTTTTTAATCTACACACTTCATTTCCCTTCAAGTTGGCATGTTTGGCTCTTGGTGGAATTTCCATATAATATTTTTTCTTCTAATTTTCCATTTAAAAATGCATTCTTTACATCAAATTGCTTGAGTGGCCAGTCACTGTTAGCTGCTATAGAAATCAGAATACGAATTGTGTTTAGTTTTGCAACTAGTGCAAATGTATCCTTGTAACCAGCCCTGTATTTTTGTGTGTATCTCTTAGGAACTAATTTGGCTTTATATCTATCAAGGTTGCCATCTGCTTTAAGCTTCACAGTAAAAATCCTTTTGCATCCAATTGATTTCTTCCCGATTGGTAAAGGAACCAGGTCCCACGTTGAGTTTTTTTGTAAGGTCTTCATTTCTACATTCATGGCTTCCTTCCAATTTGGATCATCCAAAGCATCCTGCACATTGTTAGGAACAAATATACTAGACAATTGATTAACAGATGCATTATATGATTATGACAACATATGATTTGACATGTAGTTACCTATAGGGTATTTGACCTTAGCATTTGGATCTGGTTCATATAGCTGTTTTGGTACACCTTTATTTGGTCTTTGTGTCACTCTAACAGGTAAGATGGGACCATCTATGATAGTAATAGAAGGTCTATTTGAAGAAATAGGAGTAAGATTAGTGTTTACCTCAAGTATGGATTTAGGAACATCCGGGACGATGCCTCAGTTATAGGTGTTAGACGTGTAGCAAAATCATTCGTGGGAGGAGTAGCATCCGGTTCAGGAGTGTGTTGAAGAGCTGTAGGGCAGTGAAGAGGAGGAGAAGTAGTTTGAGTTTGATTTTTGAGCAAAAAAGAGGTGGACATTTCTTCTCCAATAGTAGGTATTTCTCCCTGAGAATAAGTAACAGAATCTCTCCCTGAATAATATGGTTCCAAGTCTCAAAAAGATATGTCATGGTAACATGCATTTTGTGGAGAATGGGATCATAACATTTGTAACCTTTTTGTACATCAGCATAACTCACAAATACACATTTTTTAGCACAGGGATCTAATTTAGTTCGTAATACATTGGGGGTATGGATATAAATAATGCACCCAAAAACACGAGGCTCAAGGTTGGGAATATGAGGAATTGAGAAATAAGATTCCAGTGTCTGTTGTGGAGTTTTAAAGTGAAGGGCGCTAGATGAAATACAATTGATGAGGTATGTAGTAGAAATAACAGCTTCACCCCAATAGGTTTTAGGCAAATTCATACCAAAAAGGGAGGCACGAACCACTTTTAGTAGTTGTTTATTTTTTTGTTCAGCGAGGCCATGTTGTTGGGGAGTATAAGGGCAAGAGGTTTGGTGTTGGATCCTCTGTGTGCTCAAGAAATCAGTAAAGCGGCCATCTAAATATTCCATGTCATTATCAGATTGTAGAATTTGAACCTTAGATTGATATTGGGTTTGGACCATGTGCAAATTTTTTTGAAGGCAACAAAGACATCACTTTTGTGTCTTAATAGTGACAACTAAGTCATCCGGGTATATTCATCAATAAAAGTCACATAATAGTAAGTTTTTGAGAAAGAAAGCACCTTTGTAGGGCCTCAAACATCAAAATTAACAACTTGAAATGGAATAGAACTTTTATTAATACTAGGAAATTAAGGAACTCTGTGACTCTTGGTCAATTCACAAGTGCTGCATTTGAAATCAACATTATTAAAATGAGAAAACAGCCGAGGAAATAACTTTTTCAGATAACTAAAGGAAAGGTGACCAAGTTTTCGATGCCAAAGCCAAATGGTAGCACATGACTGTTCTGGACCGGTTGTTGCACATGTAGTAAACAAAGAAGGATGGCTAGGATCAGGGACTCCAAGAAGTAAAGCTGGCCACGTTTAACACTATAACCAAGAGTCGTCCGAGTGAGGATGTCCTAAAAAACACAGTGAGAGGGAAGAAAGGTTACTTAACATTTAAGCTTTGAAGTTAATTGGTTGATAGAGAATAAGTTATATTCAAGAGAGGGTACAACCAACACAGAGTCTAGAAATAAACTATCAGAAAAGGTTAAGGATCCTTGACAAGTAATTTTTGAGGTACCCCCATTGGCAGTGGAAATAACGGATTGGGAAGAATTACCGAGCTTGAACAACTAGGAAGAATCTTTAATCATATGATCAGAAGCACCTTTGTCAATTATCCAAATATTGTTCCTAGACAATGTATAGAAAGCAAGAGATTTACCCAAAATACCGGATTGAGTAAAATTGGCAGTAGGAATAGGAGCATCTCTAGCAGACTTAGGAAGTTGTCCAGTGCGAGAATTATGAGCCAGTAGGCTAAATATTCAAAGAAGGTTTTGGGATTGTTCATGGGAAAAGAGAAATTCGAAATGGGTAATAGAAAAAGAAATTCGGGTCAGACAAATTGATACCGGGTAAAAGAAGAAGAATACGATGTGGAAGTTTTAATGAAAATAGGTTCCTGGATCAGAACACAACTGATACCATCTCAAAACAATGGTGCCATCTCATGAACATTTCAACATGTATATTCTTCCTCTACAGGGATAAGGTTAATTATATACATAAATGGGAACTCTAGATCCATTACCAATTAGCTGTCAATCAGTTACAAATAAGGAAACGAAATAACTTGTTACTATTTCTATTTAATACAAATCTCCTATGATTATGTAACTGTGTAATCAATGATAAAAATTCCAACCATTATACGGCTCAACAAATATTATTTCATTTCAACATATTCAATTACCAATTCCCAAGCTCTTTTGTATTTCATGTTTAGGTCGAGTTTTCAAGCCTGCATCTATTAAGATTTGGGAACCATTCTTAGTGTCTTTATCTTTCATGTTCATATCGGATCCTAAGGCTCACACTGTCACACATGTATATCTTCGGGTACCCATTCCCAAGCTCCTTATTTTTGTAGTCAAGCTTGGCTCTCAATCACGCATTTTTTTAACGTTGGATACCCATTCCAAGGTTCCTTACCTTTCTAGTTTAAAATGAGTTGTCAAGTCAAGAACTATTTAGATTCAGGATGCCATCTCAATCTCTTTGTTTTTCATGTTCAAGACAAGTTCTCAAGCCCTCACATGTTTAACTTTCAATACCCATTTCCAAGCTCT